TGAGCTGATCCTGGTCTGAGCTCACAGCCAACCCTGCTTCGAGCAGGAGGTTGGGCTAGAGACCTCCTGAGGTCACTTTCAGCCTGAATTATCCCACGAGCCTGTAATCTTACTAGCCAAGGAATCAGGGTGCCCCCAAACAGCAGCAAAATGCTGCCCAAGAGACAGCATTCCTTCTGCTGTTCGTGCTTTCTTTCCCTTCATAGCAGGACAGCACTGTTAACGTGAGCAGGATGGTCACCTGGCTTACATGGGCAGCTCTTCTCAGCCCCCCCTGAAAATCCTGTTATAGCCTCAGGTGCTCATGGCAGCCGTCCATTAAAGAAAGCTGCAGGACAGACAGACTGGCAGCAAGGCAGGGCTGGCTTTCTGAGTGGCAAAATCTCCTCTGTTTGTTTCTGTGATATTCAGGGAAATAGGGCTCTGTGTACATCCACTGAAAAAACACACCCATGCCAAAACAACTCCAGACTCCCTCACTCTTTTTTTTTCCCCTTATATAAACAGTTTAGCAAATCCCACTGATCAGATAACTGCTTGGGCCAATAAACAGCAATAGTAACAGTCTGTCTTACACCACTTCTGCCTCATCTGGATGTCCATTTTATTTCTTATTTTTTCCATACAGCACTCCAGATATTGTAGCTGTTTATTTAATTGGCTTTACTGTGGTCGTCTTTCAAACACCAGCCTAAAATCTGCTAAGAAGCCAGGAACAAGGAAATTATAAGGTTTCCTTGCCAGATGTCAAATGACAATTGAGGCAAATCCTTTTTAAGCTGGGCTAGAAGAAAAGGACATTATTGAATATTTAACAGGTTTACACAGGAAGAATGCAAGCACTTTGTATATGTCCATAAGTGTACACGTGCATTCTGAATGGATTTATTACCGTTTAAAACTTATATAGCATGTTGCTCAAAACAGATGTGGTATTAGTGCATTTTGGTTTTCAGACCAAATTTGCAAGTCTCTGTTGTATCTTGTTACTAAAACAGCAGGCAGTTCTCCTTATCACTCAGTAATTCTGATGATATGAAGCTCACTAAAAAAATAAAGGGTACAAAACAGCCTTCAGTTTGCATTATTAGTTTAATTTTTGCATTGCTGGCCCCTACCTAAGAAGGCAGCCCAAAGGAAATGGTGAAGACTCTAGGTCCAAATTTTCCAGTGAGGTCTGTAAGTGCCTAGATGGTTTGCTGATGAATGTATACAACAGCTTACATAGAAACTGTGCCCTTCAGTATTTCTGTTGCCTCAGTACTTCAGCAGCATTACCTCAGCCTTTAAGCCTAGAGAGTACAGACAAGAGTGGTATAAAATTGAGTGAAAAGGCATGAAGCAACCTCCTGTGGATATTAATGCTTGGTATATGACCCCTGTGCTATGTAACAGGTACATTTGGGCTGAATGATCCATACTTTTCCTGCCACAATTAGGAATTCAGACCCATTCTACACAGGGCCTGGGAGACTGTCATTCTACCTGCACCAATTTCACAGAATCACAGAATGGCAAGGGTTGGAAGGGACCTCGGGAGATCATCTAGTCCAGCCCTCCTGCTCAAGCAGGGTAACCCAGAGCAGGTTACACAGGACTTCGTCCAGGCGGGCTTTGAATATCTCCAGAGAAGGAGACTCCACAGCCCCTCTGGGCAGCCTGTTCCAGTGCTCTGTCACCCTGTAAGTAAAGAAGTTCTTCCTCATATTCAACTGAAACCTCTTATGCTTCATTTTGTGCCCATTGCCCCTTGTCCTGTCACTGGGCACCACTGATGAGAATGGCTCTGTCCTCATGACATCCACCCTTGAGATATTTGTACATGTTGATTAGATCCCTTCTGTCTTCTCTTCTTCAGGCTAAATAAGCCCAGCTCTCTCAGTGGAAGAAGCACAATTTGCACCTATGGGATGAGTGTGTATGCATTCTTACTCTATGTCACATAGGAAATCCGAGTCCCTACCAACTTCACCCATGTTTCTAAATCCTAGCACCTCTGTCTCCATCCCTCTCCTCTTTAGCAAGTTGTTGTTAATACCACTTCTGAAAGGAACTGAAGAACAGATTTGGGGAAAAAAAAATAAAAAAAATCAGGACATGTTGTCAAAATAGCGTAACCTAATGTTACATCTGCCCAATTCATTTTAATGGTGAGGGTAGGCTGGCAAGAGTGAAGCAGAAACTGAGCAAGTGAGTCAGGAGGCAAGGATAAAAGTGACATTAAAAAATGAAAAAAAAAAAAAAAAAAAAGAGCAAGTAGCCAGAAAGTAAGAAAATAAAAATCCAGTCAATCACTGGGTGTGCATGTGCAAGTGCACATCTGCATGCATTAGAAGCAAACTTTCTCTGGAAGATGAAACAATTCATGACAAACCTTCAACAATTTTGAGCTGGTGCACAAAAAATGGTCCAGTTATGATCACCCCAGATTACAAGTCCACTTGCTTACAACCTTACTGACATCACATAGGCTCACAGTGTTTTTATTGTCATAAATTATTAACTAATGTCCAGTTCATTTGACATAAAAAGGACATTTCTTCCCCTGTATTTTGTTGTTGCTGACTTCTATGCACTTCCATTTTCCAGTCTCACCCTGGATCACGTAGCAAGCAAAATATACCAGGCTACAGAATATGTATCCTGAAAATGCTGCTTGGCGATTCACTTGGGAAGAAAAGAAACGTAAACCCCAACTGACCCAGCTTCACAATGTAATTTCACCAGACAACGCAGCAGAATATTTCAAATGTCTTTATCAACAAGGTCTTAGCATATGTGGATCTAATCATTCCCAGTGATACGGAAGGAAGATAAGACACCTTCCTGTTGACTTCTAAATTCATTAAGTAAGAGCATGGCAATGGCTGACTTCAGTGACAAATTATTTTTTTCACTTCACTAGGTATTTTAGAACATTGCCTGGGAAGAAAAGTCAAGATGAAACAGTATTTGTTGAAAGCTTTCTCCCTGAATCACAACATGAGGGGGGGGAAATTCTTCCTCTATCAAATTGTTCCATTTCATGAAAACAAAATATTTTGTATTTTTAACATTTTTGTATTCATTTGGAGAAAACATTAAGTGGATTGGAGCAATACTTTCCAACAGTTCATTTTAAAATCACTGCAATTAAGCTATTTCAACTTGGAGATGAGGGGATTACCTTTAAGAGAGAAAAACCCTCATGAATTTGAGACTATTAAGTATTCACATACTTCAGGAAGAAAAAATCTGCCTTTTTCCACCTGCAACAGCTTGAGGTTGCCTCCCTTTAATGGAAAACATTACCAGCAAGTGTCATATATTTTTCATCCTTGCACAATTAGAAAGTGGGGAAAAATTTCCCAGGTGGGTGCCTTAAGTTAGACCCTCGCATCTATATTTAGACACATGAATTTCACAAGCAAGTCAAACTGTCAAGCCCCCGAAAGGAGCAATCCCTCCCTCCCTCCTCCCTACCTGCTGACTATAACCTTCTCCTTGCCCTCTGCCTTGTGATTAAAAAAGCATTAACGAAGTCTTGTGCTGAGCGGGGCAGGGAAAGATGTGTCCCTTTAGCTTGGATCAGTGCCCTCATCCTTCACATGAGAAGTGGTGGGAGAAAGGCAGGAGCAAGCAGCGGTGGGTAATGAAAGTACTGGGTAATGCTGATCTGTCATATTCAAAGAAATACAGTAGGGAGCACAGCTAGGACAGCTAACCCAAACTGACCAAAGGGCTATTCCATACCATAGAATGTCATGCCTGGGGGGGGTGGGTTAGTCGGTCGGAGACGGGGAAGAGTGATTGCTGCTCGGGACGGGCTGGGCATCGGTCAGCGGGTGGTGAGCAATTGCATTGTGCATCATTCGTTTTGTATATTCTATATATTCTCACCATTCTCATTATTACTATTATTATTATTCTTTTTCTCTTATTAAATTGTCTCTATCTCAGCCCACAGCTCTTACCCTTTTTTTTCTTCCTGATTCTCTCCCCCATCCCACCGGGGGCGGGGGGGGTGAGCAAGCGGCTGCGTGGTGCTTAGTTGCCAGCCAGGTTAAACCGCAACATGGTCCCAGAAGCTGTGAGCAACTACAGCTCTTTCTGTAGACAAAGGGAGGTTTAGGTAACTATCCCTGTTCAGAAGTGTTCATCTTGGCTCATATTAGAAATTTTTTGTGTATGTGTGTGAAAAGTGAGAAAATAAAGATAGTGGTATACAAGAAAAGGGAGAGAGAAAGAGGGAATATTTCTGCACCTACATAAATCATGCTAATAGAAGGAGGTTTGAGTTAAAGTAATGGAGAATCTAACCCTGATTAAAGCGTACCCCAAATCACAATCAACACATCTTAAGGAGTCAGTGCCATTAGGTCTTGACAAGAGAAACGAGAGTGCTGAATGCTTACTGCCTAGCAAAATAAGTTTATTTTCTTGAGCAGCCTGTGTATTTTATTACCTGAAGCCTCTGGGGTCCCCAGTATCATGCAGTAACAGTAGAAAGCACAGACAGATATCCTAAAGCATTATTGTGGGGAGTGGGCAAAGTGCTGGTTCAAGAGAAACTCCTAACACAACTGGTTGACTGCCAGCTTCCAACAACTATTTCCCATTTCATTGTCTGGAGTACGGAAGCATTAGAAGACACCTATTCCTCTAATTATTACTGCATATTTATGGTTATATCCCATACTGTGATTTCTAAAATGAAAGTGCATATCTGAGAGATGTTACAGGAATCAGGGTGAAGGGATACCGAGGTGTATTTTTAGTATCTGCTTTTGCAGAGGTGGGTAGTAAGAGAATTACTTTTTCTTTTAAATAGATCTGTCCAGTTTACAAATAATTCACATGCCCTTCATGCGCTAGGAAAGCAGTTGTGAATAACAAGACTGAAAGTTGTTCCCAATGACATTTGAAATGTCTAATTAATACCTAGGAAACTATGGCTCATTGAAATAATTTTTACATGTTTTATTTTTGTGTGTATGTGCATGTCTGTATGTCTTCCACAGGCTGGAACAAGAAATACAGAAATTAGAAAGTGAGGAATCCCAAATATCTGCCAAAGAACAAATCATTTTGGAGAAACTAAAGGAGACTGAGAAATCTTTCGACAACTTGCAAAAGGTATTTAAAAAAAAAAAAAGACACTCACGGCACCGACTGAAACCCAGGTAGACTCTTAGCCCTGTTTGAAAGCAGCAGTTATAATTCATGCACTTATTGGAAGACTGAGGGCAGTTGCAGAGCACGTAGCTCAAACCAGGATGAACAAGACTAGAAAAGATATAGAGGCATCAGATCTACTTTGATTGGAGTATTTGGATTTCCCCTTCCTAATCCAGCTTTTTTTGAAGAGGGATTTCAGAGACTATCTCCTATCTTATCAGCAGGGAAGTAATGTGAGCTTTCGGTCCCACTGAAAGATGTCAGCAGGATCCTGAAAGGCATCTCAAACTTCCCCACACCCAGTGGCACCCAGAGATACTGGCATTTGCCACAAATGCCACTTCTGCAACAAACAGCAGTGTTCTCCTTTTAGTTGCACCATGTCCCTCTCCCTCAGGCTCCCATGTCACCTAAGCCCGAGGAGCCACATCCCCAGTTACTCATTTAAAAATTACCATGAATCATAAAAGCAAGCCTAACATAAAAATCATGACTTCATGCAAATTATACCCAAAATACAAAAGGTTTAACCAACATTTTTTTTTTTTCCTTCACAGAGTTTCTCACACCAGGATGGTGGTAAGTGCCTTTTTATTATTGCATAGATTTGAGTTTAACAAGAGTTGTCGCTATAGCTTTTTTTCAGAGATTTACAGAGTGGAGGGTTCTTCTATTCATTGTATGTTTCTGATTAACTGATAGAGCCATTACCTTTTTCTTTGTTATTGCTACAGTGCAAGCACAAACATCACTATTGTGGTGAAAGAGTATTCCTTTAGCAGAGCTCCACCTCTTCTTATGTACACACAAGGGAAAAGAACAGCATGGATGACTTAAAACAGACATCATACAACTTCTGTTATTGACCCCTTTCAGCACATGATAGCCCTGCACTGCAGACTCCTTTTCTCCTCTCTCTGGTCAATCTTCTCCATTGTATGTGCTCATGCTCTGATCATAAACAGTTAAATACAATGAGGACTATTCCCAATATACAGGAACAACTGTTAAAATTAGATTACTTCACTGATGAATGATGTTCTCTGCATGATGATTCTTACAGAAGGAAAACCTTGCATGGGTGGATGAGGATGTAGTAATTCCCAGTGTGCGAACTCCATGTCCCACTATGTGCCTAAATACTGAAATACATATTCAGCTGTCTGAGTGAGCAAATAGTACAGCTAGTTCCCAGAAAGATAGAGAGACCCTTGTAGTGCCTCTCCAGGATCCTCAGGACCCAGGAAGGATATCATGCTGATCCATCTGCAGATAAATCTGTGCTCCAGACACTCATTCTCAGTACATGTCTTTGAACTAGAAAGATTCAAAATACTGAGACCAAGACTAGCTCCTCCAGCTGCTGACAAAGCCATGCTCAACTGTATTGTGGGTATGGATGAGGAATACATAGCATGATCCTAACATTAAAGCACTGGGACACAATGGAAGGTTAGCATGTAGTATATGAGCTGACTTGGACCTGTCTTTTTGACGTGATTAATATTACTTGTAAGAGGGTTTTCTTTTTAACTCAAAGATCTGGTTCAGAAATTTTCACTTCTGTTAGCAATATAATTCAAGTTTTACGTTAAAAAAAAAGAAGTCCCAGAAAGGATGCTCCATGGTAAGAACTTACTCTTCCTTCCTCCTGGAGCATTTGAAATAGGCTACCACAATGTAAATAAAGATCCAGAATGGCAAATGCTTTGTACCTACGCAGAGTTTCACTATGGTTGTTGGTAAGTTTACTAAAGAGGAATGGTGCCTACAGGAATTAGTACCTGAAGTGCACAGGAGCTTTTATGATTCTTGCAAAACATGGTCTGCCTCTTCATGCATGTTGTGATAAAATGGGAACCAAAGGAAGCCCCAGCTAGCAAATACAAAGCGGTAGTTTCCCTGAAGGTATTTTCTTGTAGGAATGTAGTATTTCATTGGGTTCAATAGGAGCCTCACTGCTCTCCAGATCCTGCCTGCTTTCAGTGGATCCCTCCCTCACAGACTGAGCCAGAAGCAAGGACAGCTCATGATTTCTGAAGGGTGACAGAAAACTGCGAAATTATGCTAAAGAGAAGAGAGAACCTCGAGAATAAATGTGCAAGCAGAGAGAGCAGGGGGTATAGCTAAGTTAACTGGTACCTCTTCCCTTCCAGACCACTTGCTTTATATATCTTGTCTCTTCCTCTCAGCAGCTGGTCCTTGTGGGTTGAGGCAGACCCAGGTCATCCTCTAAGCAGTACTGTAATCTGTTCCTCTGGGGGTGATGGGGACTGCAAGCTGTCCTGTGAGCCCTGACACTGTGGGCACAATGTGATGGTACACCTTCACACAGTGAAAGCTGAGCAGGTCCTCTGTTTTCTGCTCTCTGGCAACAGTCTGTGAGGGTAGCTGATCAGAGAAGTAAGAAAACACGTACATAGCTAGCTGCAATCACTTTGATACCATAGATTTTTTTTCCTTCCTTCAAAAACATGTAGGACTTGCTTTGTTGCAGCAGATCAGCCATCTGTCTGGCAACCATCTGTAAACACATGCTGCAGAGGAAAATGGTAAGAGCCATTGGATAATACAGAAAAGCTGTGTAAAACACAGGGACAAACCAACACAGACCTGTTGGGGTAATTTCTTCAATTGCTGCCACATCCTGAAAGACTTCCAGTCCATAAATCTCACATTAGTTTGCCCTGTGTGCATCCCTCTCTTTATTCTAAAAGCAATGACAGTACAGAAGGTGATTTATCTCATCATTGTGTCCCTGTGCATGTTTTTGTGCCATATATATGGGAGTGCTTTTGAGTTGTGCAGAAAGCACAACTGCAGGGACCTCAGAGCCCAGAGGGGTTCAGGTGAAGGCTGCGAGGGGAGGGGAGAAATGGTGGTGAGCACCAGTTGCCAATCAACAGAATGTGTCCTTCCCACCCTTCCCAGAAAATAGCTGTGTTTGGCAATGAGCATTTCTGAGCCTGAAGTCATCCAGACACGATAAACACATGTCTTCCATGGTACAAACACAATCTGCCTTCATAGATCACCTCATGAGAGAAAGCTGAGGTTGGGGGCTGTGGCCCTCTCACATGCAGTCATGCTTCTGCCAGCTCCTTGGTGGCTTGTCACTGACAAGCTCTCCATTAAGCAAGGCCTGAGACAATGCTAGGAATGACACCATTTGTTGCTGCTCAGGTCTGCAGTCAAAGCCAGGCATGCTGTAGTGCTATGCTGCATGCACATCTGAACAACGGAGAGAGCTCTTACTTTGTGTCTGAGTATGTTTGTGGCTCAATGTATATATAAAATAAAAGCCACATTAAGATCTGATCTAACTCCCTTGACTGCTAAATTTGCCTCAGGGGTAAATTTGTCTTCTGCAGTCTTTGGCCACCTGTGTGCAAACTACATGTGGCTATTTATGATCCAGCAATGTGCGCTCACAGCCCCGAAAGCCAACCGCATCCTGGGCTGCATCACAAGCAGCGTGGCCAGCAGGGTGAGGGAGGTGATTCTGCCCCTCTACTCTGTTCTGGTGAGACCCCATCTGCAGCCCTGTGTCCAGCTCTGGGGCCCTCAGCACAAGAAGGACATGGAACTGTTGGAGCGGGTCCAGAGGAGGGGCACGGAGATGATTCGAGGGCTGGAGCACCTCTCTTCTAAGGACAGACTGAGAGAGTTGGGCTTGTTCAGCCTGGAGAAGAGAAGGCTCCGGGGACACCTTATTGCAGCCTTTCAATACTTTAAGGATGCTTCTAAGAATGACAGGTCCAAACTTTTTAGTAGGGCCTGTTGTGATAGGACAAGGGGTAATGGTTTTAAACTAAAAGAAGGTAGATTTAGACTAGATATAAGGAAGACATTTTTTATGATGAGGGTGGTGAAAGACTGGCACAGGCTGTCTAGAGAGATGGTAGATGCCCCATCCCTGGAAACATTCAAGGTCAGGCTGGACAGGGCTCTGAACAACCGTATCAAGTTGAAGATGTCCCTGCTCACTTCAGGGGGGCTGGACTAGATGACCTCTAAAGGTCCCTCCCAACCCAAACTATTCTATGATTCTATGACTTTGTGCTTCAGCTGACATACAGAAGCCACATTACAGTAACTCTACAGTTTGCACAAACCTCTGTTTGAATTTGGTATGTATGAGCGTGGATTTGTCAAAGCTTTGGCTGTGGAAACCTGGCCTGCATTGTTTAGTTCGCAGCACATTGCTTAGAGACTCTTCTGGTTTTCTCTTCTCTGATCTTGACCAGCTGTGCAGCTCAAGAGCAAAACAGATGAGCATGTCCTCCGTGGAATAAAGTATAGATCTTTGTGGAGTGCTTTCCACATGTCCTGTAAAAACTCATCAGCAACTGTTTTTCAGTTGTAGGGTTTTAAGTAACTTTTTAATTTGATCTGCATCTGCTGCTGCCACAATTACAGCACCTCTGGCCAGCTGAGTAAAAACTATTAATCACCAACCTTTGAGTGCAGTCTGTTAGCCAATTCCCTACCCATCTCACAGAACCCCCCCATCCAATCTGTATCTTGCCAGTTTGTCCAGGAGAAGGCAGTGGGAAACAGTGTCAAACGCTTTGCTGAAGTCCAGGTAAACAGCATTCACTGCTATCCCCATGTGGACAGATGTTATTTTGTTGTAGAAGGTGATCAGGTTAGTCTGTCATGATTTGTCCTTGGTAAATCTGTGCTGGCTTTTCCCAGTCGCCTGCTTCATTTGGTTTGTAATAGTTTCTAGGAGGACTCATTTCATCACTTTCACAGGGAATGAAATAAGATTATTGGGCTTCTAGTTTCCTGGGTCCTCTTTTGGTCCCTTCCTGTAGACAGGTAGGACATTTTCCCTCTTCCAGTCATCAGGGACATCCCCTGATCTCCATGACTTTCAGATATTATAGACAGTCACCTTGCAACAATGTCAGTCACTTCTCTTAACACCCTGGGGTGGATTCCAACCAGACCCATGGATTTAGGTGGGTTGAGCCCTTCCAAGAGGTTGCAGACCAGCCCTTCCTCCACTACTGGCGGGTCAACACATGAGTTGTCGTAGCTACTTGATATTGTAATCTCTGCATGCTCTAGCAAGGTCCTTGTAGTCCTCAATGGCTATTTGGCTGCCTTTCCACAGCCAGTATGCTTCTTTTTTGCTTTTACTTACACCTAAAGGCCCATTGTTAAGACAGGGTGGTCTTTTGTTCAGCCTTCTTCCCTTTCCTTTGTAGAGGATGGACCATTCTTGTGCTTTCAGCAGGCACTTCTTGAATAACTCCCAGCACTCACAAGCTCCTTTGAACTCCATGGACGCTTCCCATGGAATTCCTCGCAGCTGGGCTCTAAGCATATTGAAGCTGGCTATTCTAAAATTTGAGGTCTTTGTCCTACTACTGGTCCTCAGGGTGCTCAGCAGGATCTTTTACTCCTCAGTGTTGTGGTCACTGTATCCGAGGTTAGCATTGGTAGTTATAATGTCAAGTAAGTCTTTGTGGTTTGTGAGCAGTAAATGTAGCAATGTTCTGCTCCTAGTTAGCATGTCCAGCATCTGTAGCAGGAAGCAGTCCTCAATGCATTCCAAGAACCTAATGGACACTGCACCACTGTGTTTTTTCCCCAGCAAATGTCTGGGTAATTAAAGGCACCCATAAGGACCAGGTTCTGTTGGCCCAAGACTTCTTTGAGCAGCCAAAGTAAAGTTTTCTTGGCTTCATCATCCTTATTGGGAGGTCCGTAACACACACCTAACATAAGATCTCCCTTGGTGATGATCCCTCTCATCTTGATCCAAAGGCATTCATTCAGTAGAACTGGCATGGTCTTTACAGCTCTCCTCTATACACTCAAATTTCTCTTTTACATAAAGTGCAACTCCATCTCCTCTTCTTCCTTTCCTATCTTTCTGAAAGTGTTTGTAGCCACCTGTTATGGTCTTCCCTTCATGTGAGTTTTCCCACTAAGTTTCTGTGGTTCCTATGACACTTCTCAGACTGTGCACACAGCTCTAGTTCCTCCTGCTTGTTGCCCAGATTACATACATTGGTATACATCCACCTCAGGTGGCTGAACTTAGGGTTCTTGCCTTTGGAAAGGGTTGGGGAGCATTCCTTACTGCTCTGGTAGGTGCATTCATCCACCCTGTTGCTTATGGATATACAGGTATCAGCTGTGGACCCTACCCCCAAGTTCATTAGTTTAAAGCATGATTCACTGAGTCAGAGCCAGGCTATTCAGCTTTTAGCAAAGCTTCCTGCTTAAACCTCTGTTCATGGTCTTACAAATGCAGTGGGAGGGTCATAATCTCTGTTCACTCTCACGTAGCCTCATGGAGCCCCAGAGGACTTTGCAGGTGGAATAGGCCTGCCCTGGGAGCCAGTATTTGCAGAAGACCTTAGGCACTAATTTTTGTGGTAGCCAGACTTTTTTAAAGAAAATCCAGCCCTTGGAAAATGAGCTCATCTGACATTTGACCACAAGCCTCTGCGTGGGAGCTATTCTGAGCAGTTACAAAGATTTAGTTTTGTGTAAGCACCTGTGAAGGATTACTTGGCCCCATATGTTTTCCCAAGCACTTGTCTGTCTGGTAACATGGAGGAGTGCCATAGTCCTAAAACGCGGTTTGTTGCAAGTAGTACAAAAAGCCACAGGACATGTTTTATGGCATCCTTAGCTATTAATAACTCATCAAAGGTTGAAATGAAGATGTTGAATGCAGTCAGTTCAAATCCTTTAATTTATGTTCTGTCTTACTTCTCATGCAAACAAATGCTAATTTGCATCTTATCTCCTTGTAAAATTGATCTCTTATATCCTTTTTAAAGGTGCTAAATGAAACAGACCTTGTTGCCTGTGAGATAAAGGGAAATGTGCATGTTCATTTCATTTGCAGGGGGACAAGATAGGGACTTGTAGAATCATCCAAGCCCCAACTTCTAGTCAAATACCCCATTTCTGACACAAAGAACTACCACTTGCTTCAGAAGAAAATACAGGAGAATCATACTCCCAGAACCCCCACCACAGTATTGCCTTTTCAGGACAATAATGAGAAATTGTCAGGAGCCCTGAAACTGTTTATTTAATATTTTATTTTAAGTAACATCCAGAGAAGTTTCTAAACTGAGTCAACATTAACAACACCTAACATTTAACCTAGGTATTGTCTCCTAACATAGGATGCAAAAAAAATCCCAACTTACTAAGGTCCACAGAGACACACAGCATCAGTGAGAGTTTCACCATCGAGCTGTACAACTGACCTTGCCTACTGATGGACGTCAGCGATGCTAGCTGCCAGGATGGTCAGCTCAGTTCCCTGTACAGGCACTGGAGAAAAACAAATACTTGCAAGGGATTTTGCCTCTTGCGGTGCTCTGGGATGGGAACTGTACCCTAACCGTGCCTATTTATTCTCATAGACTGCAAAAGAAGTAAGGGCGATTAGTTAAGCAACACAAGCCTGCGTTGATTACACCCACCTGTGGACAGATAGGTCTGTCACTGAAGTTGCTGGATGAGCGTGTACTGAAACTACTGTTTCAGCAGCACACTCCATGGGGTGAATAATTACTAAATTTCTGCCATTTCCAGAACACAAAGTGCCTTCTTATTCTGGCCCAGAAACACAGTCCCCACTTCTTTCTTCTGAGAAATTACTTCTGTTTTCAATAATGGCCTGCTCTTTCGCTGGTGATATTTCCTAGAATAACAACACAAAGCATTGTATAAATTTCTCATCAGAGGCAAGAAACCCTTCAAAAGAAAGCAGCTGTTGCTAGCCATTGGTCAGTCATCTGTGTCCTAAACAAGTATTTCTCCCAGGCTCTGCTGCTAAAAATAAAAAACTTTGAAGAAAGAGTAGACATTGAAAATATAAAAGCCCATTTGCCAAGATTGCCATTTGTCCACTGAAGCATACAATAAAACAATATTTCCCTGGCCGAGTCTTTTTTCAAATTTATCTGTTACAAACTGAACTTATATACTAACTTCCTGACTTTCTGGAATGAATTTACACTGTGCCTGTGACATCCTCCTCGGACGCAGGAGGTGGGAAAGGAAACCTCCATACCCGAGTCACCAACAGTGCTCCATGGAGGGATGGAGTGTCTTCTAAGGGATCGTGATTATTGTCTTCCGGCACTGGTGGCCACTGCAGGCTGTTAAGGGAATAAAACCATTTCACTAATACCAGGCCCAGTTTTCCTGCCAAGGGAGTAGACTTTGGGATTAGGGGTGTCACATCATGTCTTTGCTGAGAATGCCACCAGGTGTAGCGTTTTTTTCTGGGATGGGTGTTAGCCCATGAAAGTACCTCCCTTTAACAGATGAAGGCAAGCAGCTTATAAAAGGACATTTAATTTTCTCTCCTTTCACTGGCTCACTTTTATGGTCTGCGCTGGTCTTCCTATCTCACTTGCTTATAACAAGAGGCACCTTATAACAAGGAAGGCAGATTCTGCCTCCCACCTTGACACATGGACCAGTCCAATACTGAGGGCTTGACAACTTAAATTATAATCATCAAAGTACCGTTGGAGCAAAAAGAATTCTCTGTTTCACACCAGATAGGATCTCAAGTTTTAACAGAAATGTAACTGTTTCCGTACAAAATTGAAAACATTTCCAGTTAATAGGAAAGAATGTGATTTTTTTAATATATTTTTTTTCTTTTTTCATTTTGGTTTGGCGCCTGAACTGTAAGTCTGTTATTTGCACAACTCTCCTCTAAGCTCTGCTTTTAGCTTGGCCACTGAAAGCTAGCAGAACAATATGCACTATCTAGTTATATTTAACCCAGCCACAAAACATGTCCTGGTAAATATTTGCAAACTTCTTTAAAAGTCTCTTCTAAAGAACATATTTGGCTTATGCTAAACAGCCATAAACTCAAAAGTAAAACAAGTCAGTCCTTTAAGATAGCTTCCTATCAGTTCAGGGTTTGTTTGAGAATGATAGTATTGCAGAACTGGCAGGTGCTTTATAGCTACTGAAGGTCACAGTGGGCACCCTATCAGTATCTATAAGTGATTTCATTATTAGCTAAATTTCACCTTTAAGAACAAAAAGCCAAATGTCAGTTCAATAATATCGGAAACAAGCAGTGTGAAAAAGCTGGCCTTTCATGCCATGCAGTCAACACTAGCATTTTTAGGCTTTTACGTCTCTATTTGAAATGTCATGTATGCTGGGTATCACGTTAGGTTTGTTCCTTACCTTCCCCCTCTCTCCCCCATGTTTTAAAGGTCACAGACTTGATAAATCCAGAACCTCCTGACAAATAATTTTATGTGTTCAACTGACATAAGGTTTGAGTCATCTGGACCCATTCCCTCCTGCCTCAGCTAGTCTATTGAACACCAATCACACGACAGTGACTTTGCACTTTGTTTGCTTTGATCCAATTATCTAGTACAAAGCTTCAGTGACTATTGTCAGGGCTGACAACACTCTGCTGTCTAAGCAATGAAGCCACTGGGGCTCGTAGCACAAATCTAACTATTTCCTGTTCTCTGACACCAGATGCAGTAAATTACATTTACTCCCAGATCCCTGAACTCCCAACCCTCTATTCACGAACAGCAGAGCCAGTTCCTGGGCGGGACGGAGCAAGCAGAGTAGCTGGTAAGTCTCAAGGAGCAAAGTATTATAATACCAGTCCAGTAGCCATGAACTTTTTTTGTTGTACTGCCTTAATGGTGTCCCGATATCATTTAAATGCCAGGAAATGCCGCTTGATTTGTATTTCGTAAATAAGTCAAGGCTTTTTGAGCAGCAATGAGTACTCTCAAAACAATGTAGTTGAACTACGTACCAGTAGCATAGAAAACTTGTCCAAATTTTATGTGGAAACATTCAGTTCTTTCCATCTCTGCTGATACAAATACATGGTATTTAGGCCAAGGTTTTGTCGCCTCTGTTGTACCCATGCAACTCCCATTAAGGTGAATGAGACAGGCACTCGCAAGACCCTATACATGCTTCAAACTTTTATGTTGTTTTATACTTTGCATATTCATTTGCATATCGTATATCGTTCCTTCTTCTTGGGGAAAAGGTGGGGAGAATTATGATGTGCTTTGCACTTGGAGTCATACAGAGAATTTTCTAACACTTATTTTTCAGATTAAGTACGTGTCTTAAATGTAACAACATGATTGTTAAAAGCTGTATGTTTTTCTTATTTTCAAGATCCTTCTTTTCTAAACAATGTATTCCCTATCTCAAGACCAAATTGCTGGTGGCTACTTAAGAGGTGTCCCAAGGAGTGGGAATGAAAGGTGGCTTTACTTGAAGAATGGGTTAACAAGCATAGGAAAACAATGTCTGCAGCTAAGACACTGTACACAGCTATGGGATATGTAATTTTGTTCAGAGGTCCTGTTGCAAGCCATTCCAAAAGCTTCCCTTCCACCGGTGCTTACCCTGATCTGTCTGTAAAGCAAGCTTCTCCCTGTGTTTTGTGCCATTTTGTCAACACCAAGAACACAATAATTTCTTTCATTCTTCAAATAACCCAGAAGCCTTATTCATGTAGTCCTTGTAAGAGTATTGTGTGTGTGTGCATAGCTTAAAGAAAAGGCACCAGCCTACGTGCTCAAAGGTAGACTGTAAGCACCCATCTTAAATCAAGCTCAAAGTCTACTAAGATTTTACTTTTTTTAAAAGAACAGCCTCTGAATCCACATAACAGGCAGAAGCCAGATCCTTTCGTCTGTACACTGGGATCTTGTTGTGAAGCACAGCATCGTGTTGCACTGTAATTAAAGCTCATGCAGAAAACTTGTACTTATGAATACAGGCTGTCATCTTCAAGTACTGCTTTCGGTTTCAACTCTATTGAGAGACAATTTTGTATTGTATTAATAGAGCACATTTTGCAGTAAATAAACTCTGGTTAAATAAAGACATTTTAGAAATCCACATTAGTTCAACTTTCAGTTACTTTGACAAGCTGGGCTGCTGGGTTTTCCTGCAGAGAACTAACATTATGCATACAGGCAGATAAGCCAGGTTCTGTTATTCACTTCTCCCATGGCAATGCATTTCACTAGTGAACAGCTTTCTAAGAAACTCGCATATATTTATGCATTTACTTGCACAAGTAGTTTTAACATCATTCCTAGGGCAGGTCCTGAACCGCAGGTTATGTCAGTATCTTAAAAAACACTGCTGCTGAAATCACAGTAGAATAAATTAAAAGAGAATGTTCACAGTGGCAAATGCTTAAGCAAATTAGCCAAACACAAAATACACAAGGGCCCCACACCTGTTAACTTTCTAGATCAGATCAGCCAGTAGGACAGGGTCTTCCAAGCAGTACTAGTACTTGTTGCCCAAAGTCTTCCTAATAAGTAGGATGCTATTACTTACCAGTGCTCCACACCATAGATAAAAAGATGTACCTTGCAACTCTTCTTAAATATGGCCAGGTCCACATGACTTAACTATCAGATTTTCCCTATCTGCTTCTGAATTCAGGCCCATTATACAAGCCTTCTTTTATTGCACACTACTGAATTAAATCTGTTCATTGAAACAGGGAGGTTCTGGAAGATTGCACCTCTTCTGCACTAAAAATATATGCAATAACATGGTACTCAACTATTCCACAGGAAAATCAGCAGCCTTTATTGCAAAGTCATGCTCCAGATAATTTTTTTTTTTTCCAAAGAAGAGGAGAAGCAGAGGAGGTCCAGGGGAGCTCAGGATGCTGCTTCTCACCAAGAAGGTAGCACGTGGCCAGTCGGTGGGCTGCCAGTGCCTTCCCTAAAGGGCTGTGGTGCCCGGGACAAATCAGGAACCTCCACCCACCAGAGATGATTTTCTGTTTGCGCTGTTGCTCCCTCATAGTTCAGCTTTGCTTCAGTTCAGCTGGCTGCCACTCAAAAACCTGCCAGTGTGTTAGTTTTAGCATCTGCACCATAGGCTAGCCAGCCCCTACCTTTAGCTTTGTAAGATTTGCAGTTGTTGAACAATATCTGCCTGAGCAGACCTGGTGAGGTCAAGGGATGTTCACAGCCCATTCACCCAAGACTTGGGGGCCAAACCATCAAAGAGAAATTCCTCTTCTTTTCCTCCTCCCCCTCACCCCCACCCAAGAAACTGCACCTAGAAGGGAGAAAATTGCAGACTGTTAGTGGTGGCACCTGCGTGTTTTTGTTTTATCACACCTATAAGTTGGATTAAAGGCTTCAGGGCAGAGTGACTTGCATGAGACTTGAAGGACATTTGCCTACCAGCTCCTGTGCTGGGACAGTCCCGAGCAAGTGGTCCATCCCAGCTGCTCTCTGAGCTGCACCATGGTGCAGTCTGCCACAGCTCCTTGGAGCAACCTGCTCCAGGGCTTAACTGCCACTGGCCTTGGGGCAACAGTGGTTTTTCCTTATTTCCAGCCTAAATCTCCCGTTTCAGTCCGCTGCCCTCAGTCTCCTGCCACACACCTTGGAGCAGAGGTCAGCTCTTGCCCCCACATCCTCCTCCTGGCTGCTGGGCCTGCTGTGGAATAGCCAGGCATGAAAACTCCAGCATGGGAAGGGGGATCAGAAAACTGATATCCCTACTTCTTTGTGACAATGGGCATCCTGTGCTCAGGGTCATGACAGCTATGGACACAGCTAGTCCATAAAGCTCCCCAAGCAGTGGTAGGTATTAGTGGTAGTCCTTAGGGGTATTCCACTAGCTCGCAATGGCCAAGGTGAGATCCCTGCTTCTGCAGCCTACTCCAGCCTTCAGCAACACCTCGCTCTCAGAGGTGACAATGCTCCTTTGCCCACCAGCACCTCCATCCTCCTGCCCCATGCAGGTCTTTGTGCAGCGTTGCACTTGGCCTAACCAGCCCTTCCAGGGCAGACCAAGGTCTGAGCAGATGCACACAGCACGTGGATGGCCAGACCCCTCTTTGGCTGGGCTGCCTACCAGACTGTGCTCCCAGCGGCCAGAGGAGACCACCCCACAGGGGACAGCATGCACCCACTCACCAATACATGAATTTTCTGTCTAGAGCTATAGAGAGGGTCATGATGCAGGCACATCATGATAAACTTCCTATTGTTGATGAAACACTTTGCTTTAAGGATACAGAAAAAAAAAATCTACTGTGTATGAATAATAAGACTGAGGGAATATATTAAAGTAAGAGTAATTTTTTTATATTCATGATTTTTTAAATACAAGCATACCAAGCTTCATTGGTTTTGGGGGCAAGGATATTCTTGTACTCACGTGAAAATAAGTAATGAAAAAAAAAGCCAACACATCAGTTTGTGAAGTCCCCAGGTAAGACAAATCACGATTACACCACTGAGGTTCATTGGTGGAAATGGTCACCATAAGGTTCATGAACACTTGTCACTGCCTGTGGTAATTCGTAATTAAGTGTCTGTGGATGTCTGTCCAGGAGCCAAAATGTCTTCATCTGCATACAAGGAATGTTTAAACAGATGACCACTTCTGGAAAATCTGACAGACCTTTGCACATTTTTCTTTGAAAAGCTGTCTAGTGAGATGCCATCATACCTCAAAATGGGTGTTAGAGTGGTGTAGACTGCCTGTCTATTCCTACTGTGTGGTCTCTACAATTTTCATCTTGTTACTGCGTCCTTCTTAATTGCTAGAAAAGCTTCTTTGCTATTGTAAAGCGGCATCCCTCACACACTTGTTTTTACCTGTTGTTTCATGATGCTTTGAAAATCAGTTCATCATTACTTTTTTCTTCAACTTTGGCAATGGTGCCCAGGGCCTAACCCAAATAAATGAGGGAGCACTTCTGGGCCATTTTGTACGTTGTCTTAACCTACAAGCAGAGGTCACTGTTGATGCCTTAGTGTGGAAGCTGAGACCTGCCCTGTCACGAATCTGCGGGAGAAATTATCCCATTCCTGTGTGCTTTTATTTTCCCACCTGTAGAACAGGCATAAACAATGTTTCTTCACCTCTCTAAAATGTTTTTTGAGTACTACGGATGGAAGAGTTAAGCAAGAACAAGCATTGATAATAAAACAGTCTGGGTGTTACTTGCAGCAAACAAGACTTGTTACCAGCTAACTGTCAGTTTGATGGCAGAGAAGGAAAAGAGAGTAGAGAGGTTCCTGGAGATGAGATTCTCTCTCAATTTTGAGGCAAGTTCAGAACAGAAAAGCTGAGGGCAACCTGCATGCTGTCACCTCCCTTTGTCTAAATTACACCTAACCCAAGTGATCTTGGCTCCTAATTGATCAGAGGCAGCTCCACACCGCATGAGCTGGAAGGCTGGGTCCTGTTTGCCACAGCTGTGGCTGGCCTCCAGCTGCACAAGGAGCTGTAGTGTAACAACTATCTCTGTCCACAGCGTTGCGTCCCACTTCTAACGTAGAACGCTTGGCCCTTTAGAAGCAGGAGGTAGGAAAAGGGGCACCGTAGTTTTCTTTGTCTGTTTGGCAATTAACCATTCACTGGCTTTTTTTGTTGTAACATGCACTTCCTCTCTTGTTTTCATTCAAGCTTTGTGCACCATGGAAATTAATGTGGAGAAAGACAAACAGACAGGAGAGACCAAGATTGTCTCTGCTTCACCTATTGGCCCAGATGAGGCCCATCAAAGAGGATTCAAAGTCTATGATGATGGTACCAAGGTAGTCTATGAGGTTCACTCTGGTGGCACAGTGGTAGAAAATGGAGTACATAAATTAAGCTCAAAGGATGTAGATGAACTTATGCAAAAAGCTGGACAATCAAGTGTAAAAGGAGGGTATGAAACAATGACTGTGTCAGACAGAAACGTGGTAGCCGATGGAAACCTTAGCCATATGAAGGAGCAAAAGCTCTTCAAGGAGGCAAAGCTGGAAATGGTACACAAACCCAGCAAAGGGCATGCTGTGAACCCTCAGCCCCAAGACAAACCCTGCGGTGGCGAAGCCCTGGAGGCCAGTGCAGATCAGCCGGTGACAATGATATTTATGGGTTACCAGAACATCGATGACGAAGAGGAGACGAAGAAAGTGCTAGGCTATGACGAGACCATCAAGGCAGAGCTGGTCCTCATCGACGAAGATGACGAGAAGTCATTGCGGGAGAAGACAGTGACGGACGTCTCCACCATGGATGGGAATGCCGCTGAGCTGGTCTCTGGCAGGCCCCTGTCGGACACGACAGAGCCCTCCTCTCCTGAGGGGAAGGAAGAGAGCCTGCCCTTGGAAGCTGCCCCAGGTACACAAAAGAAAAAGCGCTGTCAATGCTGTATTGTCATGTGAACACCTCCTCCTCCCAGCTCCGGGCAGCTCCTCCTGCTCCATCACTTACCTAGACCTCATTGTACTTCTAACTGCAATACTGTGAACTGGAAGTGAATGCCTCCATTGCCTTGCAGTTGGGTTGCTTTGCTTTCTAGTTCTTCAGGAAGAGGAACACATGGTTATTTTCCCATCAGACATACTATTTGGGGTTTGAGGAGGGGTTGGGGGGTTTTTTGCTTCTTTTTTTTTGTTGTTGGGGTTTTTTTTCCCTTAATATTGCAGAGTGAGAGATAAATGGGAAATGGAACAAATGTTTTCATATTTATTTGCTTTTTTTATATATATTATATATATATAATGAAAACACTTTTTACATTTTTCTTTGGATATCTGGCAGGCTTGATCAGATTCCTAGGATTTTGTGGGAGTCTGAGTTTCACAGCAGCCAGATATGAGAGCCTTAAAAAAATGTTACTTCTCTTTTTTAAGAAAAATCACAATTGAACATTATTTTATAGATTCTATTTTTTATTTCCTGGGTGAAGGCTTAGATCATTTTACTGTTTTAATTTGCTAAAACTCAGACAAGTCTTTCCCAAACAGTTTGCATAGTTTTGTTTTATAGCAACTTTCCAGTTTAGTTTGCAGTGTCAGAAAAACCCATCAGCCATTTCTGCTTATTGGTGATACCAAAAGTGGACCTTAATTATTCTTTCTAGAAAATGTATGAATGATGATTTTTGCCTTATATAAATCTTCCAGATTACAGTATTGTATGTGTAGTTCATCTCCCTAAATTACAGTTGAAATTAACTTGACATGAAAAAGATGCAGCTGTCACACCAACTGAAATGGAGTCACTGATCTAATTACTTGCCTTTCAGTAACTCTGCCAATGTTTATACATGAAGTTTTCCTGCTGCACTCCAGTAGATGAGAGATACTGCTTTCTATTTCCTTAGAATATAAATGAACTTCTCTCACAGCCTGACCCTGTTCCCACTGGATTCAGTGACGAAATTCTCAGTGCTAGAAATGGGGGCAGGGCCAGAGCTTTGTTCTGTAACTCTTAGGGAAGTGTAATTTCTCACTGAGTGCACCTCCAGTGCACCTACATAATGACGGGTGATGGGTCTGATCCTGCCCTGCTTTCCCAGGCAAAACTCCCGTGGGGGCCCACCGGAGTTTTGTCGGAGCAGCTGTTTTGGGAGAAGATCCTACAGCAGCAAGGCTAACACTTTCAAAAACTGCTGGTGTTTTTGGATGCTTCATTTACCGGTGTGGACACTTCAAAGAGGCCTGGTTTCCAGTAATTTTTTCTTCATCTGCCCTCTGAAAATCAGGCCTGTTAAAAACAAATCAAGATGAAAATGTAAAAAGGAGAAGGCATCCAAAATCAGTAGATGTTTCTTTGTTTCTTGGTCCTTTGATTCTTCTAACTACAGTGAAAAAGCAGCCAGCTTTTTCATGGTGAGGTATTATTATGAGCCTGATTCTTGTCTCACACTGGTTTTGCTTAAGTGTAGCTTCACTGACTCTAGTGGAGTAAGTCTGGATTTTTAACTACAGAAGTGAGATTAAAAATCAGGATTTCTATTTTCTGATAGTGTTTAGAAGCACTGAAGATTATTCTGAAGTGTCTTTGAAACTATCAGACTTTAAAAATCAATAACAGCAACTGAAAAACAAAATAAAAAAGTAAAAAAAAAAAAAAGAAAGAAAACAACAAAAAGCCTCTTTTCAGTCTGAGGTGGTTCCTATGCTATTTCTGTTCTTTCTTGGATGGTGCTTTTACTGCATTAATTGTTAGTTCAGAGCATCTGATTAAACAGAGTTCTTGCTCTGTACTCTTTTCTTTCTGTGCCAGTAAAAAAGACACTTGTTCACAGTGGTGGTAATGTGAAGCACACTGAAAACATACACACAAAAAGAAATGTAAAAGGTAGTTCCTGCGTTAGGTCACTCAGCCATCAGTATGGAGCTGGTCAATGTAACTTCCCACCACTGCTCAAGTGAGAGTCAGAAAAAAAAAAGCAAGTGGAGGGTAGGAAAAGACAGCCACATCCATGTAACACCTGTAGAAATGTTGCCGGCCTCTGTATTTGCTGCAGTGGCTGGATTTAAAAGACTTTCACACGCTCCCTCTGCCTCCCCTGGGGGCTTTTGGATGGGAGAAGGACCAAACTCACCCACAGAAGCTCTGCACATCATCCCCTGACTCAGGCTTAGGCGGTTAAGTTTTATCAAAGAGGGGAAGGGCTCTGCGGCCCTGTACGTTGCAACAACAGGTCTGGTGGCTGTTTGTTGGAAACTAGCAACCTGTGTTTGGGATTTTTTTGGTTGGATTGTGTGGGGTTTTTCTTTTTTTTCCCAGAAATGCTAAGCATTTACAAATCTCAACATTTCTTAAAACAAGACCCTGAGTTTTCAACCCCAGGGCGGCCTGGTGAGGCTGTCCCCAGGCACATTTAGGACCCGAAAGCACTACAACGCAAGAGGTGAAGCCCCTTCCCTCTTGCTCTTACCCCATGAGCACCATGGGAGCTGGGCACGCTTTGCAATAGTTCTCTCACTCTGGGGCCTGCTCACCTCACCAGTAATGCTCAAAATCAAATCTTCCATCCATCTCCTCCCAGCTTGGCCAGTTGTATCGTTGCTCGCCACCCTTTCATCTCCAGGTGTGATGCCGCCTTCATGGCCACACTGGCCTCCTGGTGTCTTCCCAGCCCAGTCTTTATTCCCTTGCCGCTCCTCTCCCCTGTGGACATCTTTTCCCAAAGCTCTCTGCTCGGGAAATTGGGGGTGTTGCCTTTACCCTAATCCGCTCTGTCCATGCAACTCTTCAGCCACGTGATCCCCTGTCAGATGACCTTCTGGTTCAGCACAGACTCAGCATTTTGGGGATGACTCCCTCAGCAGCTAGCTTTGGGAGATGCTTGCTGAGGCTAGTTCCAGAACATGTCTGAGACCACTGCACCATCTGAGGCACAACGGGATGGGGAGATGGTGGCATGCAAGAGTCCAGAATTGGCCCTTCAGTGGTTAGAAGTAGAGCACAAGCCTTAAACCTTAAACCTGCCAAATACCTACTGCTCAGTACTTGTAGCTAATATTGAGTGCCTCGGAAGGCCAGTGTTTTTTATGTGTTCGTATGAACTCCATGATTAATGAGCCCCAAAAGATCCAGAAAAGCTAAAGGTTTGTCTGCATAGGGTTTGTCTTTACGGGTCAAAGGCAGTTCCACATCTGAGGTCAGGAAAAACACGAAACAGAAGCAGATTGGTCTGAACTCAGAGGGCCTTAGCTGTGTCGGCTGAAACACATTTACTCCAATCATCCTCCTCTGCAAGGGGAGCAGCCATGCCCGGGCATCGGTGTGTCCCTTCTAGCCATTAGCCTGCAGCCGAGTGACAAGGGAATTCAAATGCATTAGTTAGCCTAAGCTGATGAATGTAACCGGTTTTCCAGGGCTACTTTGGGCTTCAAAGGGGTCGGTTTTTCCCCTCACCCTCGGATAGGAAGCTGCCTGTGGAAATTCATGCACAATCAGACGCGAAGGAAGAGGTCTGCTCCATGGTCAAGCAGAGAGAGATTTTTGTAATGATCGTTATGGGAGGGTTTTTTTGTATTGTTTTAACCAAACTCCCTGTCTGTTTAACTTACGCCATCACATGTACATTTTCAATTTCAGCATGAGGGGATACAGGAAGTAGATTCAGAAACTGGTTCAGTGATAGCATTTTGCCACAACAAACTGCTCGCCTTAACTTTTGTAAGAAAAACAAAAAATAACCTCTTTTCAGTGTATCTTTTCCTAGACTGGGAAAAAGTAACCTATGAAACTTTTTTATATTTTGTATTTTCTAAGTTTCTATGAACCCACTTTCCATGTCGTCCCTTGTTTGCATTCAGGGACTGTTTCTTTTGCAAACCACTGCATTTTACTTCCATTCTTTCTTTTTTTTAACAGAAGAAAAATACAAATCAAAAAACACAGCATTATGATTAGTGGCTAGGCAATCTCTTTGAATTACAAGAATATCAATACAGAAAGAAAAGAATTACAGGGTTGTTTTCTTTTTTTAATTTCCCGTGGCTGATGTACTGTATGGTATATGTTTACAGAACTCCTCTGGTCTGCCTTTGTGATGTTATCTAAACGAATGACAAAGTAGGTATGATGTGCCATTTGACAGTTTGCCTTAGCACTCTTGGGTTTCCTTCTTTTTGTATCTTTCTTTTCCTTATTTCTTTCCAAAAATTGCAGGCTGTATTCCAAAGCTGTATAAACACAACATTGTCTTTCAATCCCCAGCAAGAGAAGTGTGCACAAGCCCTTCTCCATGAAGTGTACCTCTACTGGTGCAATAGAAGACCTCAACCCTCAAACAAAAATGCATATGCCTAATTCTGCTGTGTGTAGACCTATGTCAGTCAACAGGACTACTCACAGGAGGAATGTGTATAGGGTCTGCAAGATCAGGGCATGAACAATTAACACAGGGTGTAGTTTGGGTGTTATTTGTGTACCTGTACTGATTTCATGCACTGCTGAGTTTGCCCAGGGTGGTATAATCCTAGAGGCTATCTCTGAGCATTGCTACTTCTGCTGAGAAAAACACAAAACAAAATGGTGCTTAGCATCTGGTCAGATCAAGTCCTGAGTCAGCATTGCTACCACAGGAGTGATATTCATGAGCAAATATTAAGCGGGACTTCCCTGACAACTAATATATTAGTCCCCTGCTGTTCTACCTAAGTTCACTACTGATTAAAATTGTAGAGAAACAACAAATAAATCAGAGCAGAATGAAAGCATACAGAGTTGCTAGAGAAATAAAAGTTGTCTACCTTTTGATGTAGTCAAACATCCAAATGGCATACTTGGAAAGTAAGTGGGGATATAATAGAAAATGTAGTATTTTACATTTGTGTATTTTTTTAAGGAATAAATATTTTTGTAATGCGATACAAACCCTAAAGGGGGATTGAGTTTCAGAATACCATTCTACCCATGA